CACGGGGGGGGGACAGGGGCTGCGGCTGCCCCCTCCCAGGTGAGGTGACGCTGGGACTCGGAAAGTGCCTGGCTTTTTCAGAGTGAGTAACACCGGCGAGGGAAGGTTTCCTCATCCCACTCTGTAAGGCGAGTCCACCCCAAGGAGCCGGCACTCCCTCCCCTGCCCGTGTCTTTCCTAAGGCTTGGAACTATCCAAACTAGTAGGACAAATACCGGGTCAACTGCAATGCCCCAAATATATTCTGCATTGCCAAAAAAGAAAGACATCCTTAACATGTCAGACATATTCCATGCATACTATTAAATACAGCATTTGCCTTGATGAAAAGAAGCCAGACACTTGCCTCCCCTCTGCCTGAGGGATGACTGCAAATACAATTGCCTTCAACTAGCTTTCAAACACTGTTTTCCAGCAAAGGAAAATGGCATTGGGATTGGTTAGGAAGACGTTTCATTTCAAAAGGGGAATCTAGTAGCATTTCTCCTGCCTTCATCCTAGGCGAGCTATTTCCAAATAGTCTGCATACTTTTCCTTATAAGGAATATCTCCCCTGGATCTATATGCGGTTTCTTTGAACAAGTTAAATAAACGTCCTGCTAGAAGCTGCCTTTCGGCTCTGCAGCCATACACAGAAGACAGACATCTGATCCACATTATACACACAGCCCCTCTCTCCTGTTCCTGTGCATGCTTAGGTTTGTTACCTTCTCAGTTCTTTTTCAAAGCGATACAACTTAACTGCCATAATGAAGTTAAATCTTTGTTTTAATCCTTTGTCCATTTTAGAAGTTAAATAAGATTTAAAAAGTCATCTTTCATACAAAGTTGGTTTTTTATAACGTTTAAAAGTATCCTTCCTCACCCTGAAATATTTTGCTTGCTTCTTCTGTGGCAACTCCTCTTTTTAGTATGGCTTGAGGTTAACTTTTTTAAGCTGGGTTATAGGAAAAGGACAGCCATTGCTTTGGAAATACTGCGGTTTCACCTAATCCTGCAATTCAGACCCGAGATTTACTCAGGGAGAATAGGATTGTACAGCATTAGCCACAAAGATCTGGACTTTACCTGCAGAAACAATAAACTTGTATGGTTCCATGCATGCAATACACTAACTGCATGTCAGGGGCAGACAGGTGGGTGGGATGAGGGCCTGGGAGAAGCACAAGCTCTTGCATTATTACCATATAAAGTGTTGAGCTATATATATCTCCCAGCTTGCTCCCAGGATGTCTGTCCTCTGAACTGCAAACTTAGCAAGTATCATCTTCCGGACAATTTTCTCTCACATAAGACTGAACTTTCTTTTGACAAGTTAAACAGTTTCAGTGATTTCCAGGGTAAAAAAAAAACCCAACCAACCAACCCTAGGAGAGATCCAGGTGAGCCAACTAGGATCTGGCAGCACTTCTAATGTGTGCATGTCTAGAAATAGCTCTCCAAAAGAAAAAACTAGCAGCCCTTGCTCTTCTGGATCTGCCTCTCCTGTATCTAATTGCTATTAACTTTCTGATTCTGCTTTCCTATCAAGATTCAAGATTATCAATATCAAGATTGTTCCAGCTTGAGCCATTCTCCCCATCACCTGAACACCCAATCCACCCTTTCTTCAGTTTCCCGTCTACAGCCACAAATACACACGAAAAGCACGTGTCGAGTGAGCAGAAACCCAGTCAAATGCCTCTGACAGTGTGCAAACCTCATGCAAGGAGGCAGTGCTGTGTTTCCCACCTCCCTGCCCAGGAGATGTCTGGACTTCAGCCACCAGCAAAGCTTTGGAGCACCGCTTGGTAGGAGTCCTGGCTGTCCTGTGCAGAGGGAGCATGGGGTCTCTTTACTGAGGTGGTGGTGAAAGGGATGGGGGTAACTTACATCTGTGGCCTTTTTGTCAGCCAGTTCCAACTTTTCCTGGGCATCTTTAAGGGACTCGGAGTATTTGTCCAGCTCATCCTCAGTGCCCTTCAGCTTCTTTTGTAGAGCCACCAGCTCGTCCTCCAGCTGTGATACGGGTGGAAAGTGGTGCAGAGGGGAGGGCGGGCAGGAAAAGGTGCGGCAGGCAACGTGATCGTGCAAAGGGAGAAGTGCAAGTGCAGAAGAGACAGGAAAGGACAGACAGACAGAGAGAGAGAGAAGGAGAGACAGTTAGATTATCTTTGCTTGCGACAAGGGCACAATACCTTGGCAGCATTCTCCTCTGCGGAGAGGAGGCTATCCTCAGACTTGTGTAGCTCTTCCAGCACTTGGTCCCTTTTATCCTCCGTCACATGCAATTGCTTTTCCAATTGCACAATGTCATCCTCTAGCTAGGTGCACAAGAGGAAATACAACGCACAAATATGTTTCTCCTTGGGCTTAGAAAAGTGGGAAATTGATTTTTAAATCCCTCTCCCTTCCTCCCTCCTCCTTCAGGATCTCCCAGAAACATGCAAACAACGTGTTGCCCTCCCCCAGATGAATAAAGCCCTGGGTGTTGAGGAAGGGGGGTTGAATAAGCCAGAAAAACGGGACACACATCTGGAAGGGGGAGGAGAGCAGCTGGCATCTGCTGGGTGGTGCTGGAGGGGGCAAACACATCTTTTAAGTATCCCTTGCCAAATCTCAGCACCTCTGTCCATTGCTAGCCAGGTGCTGGAGGCAGCCTCTCCCAGCCGCCAGCCGTGCCCCTGTGACAAAGGTACAGGACACGAGGCTGCCCCAAGGCCCTGCTCCCCAGCTGGGGTGCAGGGGGCGGGGAGAATGACCCCCTGCTGGGCCGCCGGAAACCTCCAGCCAGGGGCTGCCAGGGTAAAGCTCTGCCTTAGGAAAAGTTCAACCAGTTCCGCGGAGAGGGGGAGGAATACGACAAAGTACACGGCGGGCGGGGGGGGGGAACAAAAAAAGAAGAGAGAAATAGTCTGAAAAGACTTGAGCCCCGGCACTGGGCGGGCCCGAGCAATTGGTGCAGACCTGCTTGCTTCTCTCCTCTGCTGCCTTCTTGTCAGCTTCGGCTTGCTCAGCTCTGTCCAAGGCATTCTCCTTGTCCAGCTTCAGCATCTGCATCTTCTTCTTGATGGCATCCATGGCGGCGGTGGGCTAGGGCGCGACCCCGCGCGAACTGCACCCGAAAGCAAAACTTGAAAAGCTGCGGGACAGTCCCGAGTCCAAGACCCAGCCACGGCCCCCGAGGGAGCGGCGCGGAGCTGCCGGGAGCGGGGCTGATCCGTGCGGGACCGGGCGCCGGCGGAGTGCAAGCGGCGGGCAGGGACCGCCTCACAGATATGTACTTTCCCAGGGGGCTGACTGCATTCCTCAAGACATCCAATACTTTTTTGGAAGGGTGGATTTTTTTTTCCTCCTCCCTCCTCCGTTCGTTCGTTCCTGCCCCCTTCCCTCTCTCACTCTCTCTCCCAGGTTTTTTTGGGAGGCTCAGCGCTCCCATTCGCTGCTGCCTGCCATTTGACCGTAGATATGACTATATATGGGATACGATGGGCGAGGTAAGGCGGGGGAGTAATTTTTTCCCATTTCCAAATAGGCAGGACGGGACGTTTCGCTGCTACTCCTGGGAGGGGAAAAAAAAAAAGAAAAAAAAAAAAAAAAAAAAGGGAGAAAGACGGGGCCGGGGGAGGA